ACTACTCGCAATAATGGCTATTATTCCCTCGGAATGTTACTCCCTCGCCGCTAACGCGGCTCAGTTCGTAATAATCCTCGGGAATAATAGCTATCATTATTGACTCGTGGTGTAATCTACTATTAAGCTGTGTAGTGTATAGTATTTTTATGATTGTGTTGTCTAGTCTGGCGTCTGGAAATGGAGCAAAATAGCCTCCACAAGTTTATTTTTGAGGCTGTTGAAGAGGCCAAGGAAGATCTATTATCTTCAAAGTCCAAAAGACTCTATGAAGGAACATATAAGGACTTTATTTCCTGGTGTGCCCAACATGGTGTTATGCTGTTAATGACCAGCAGTAGTACTTTGTAGAAGAAACTCTCCTGACATAAATTAATGAAAAACGCAGAAAAATAAGTCATCCACCCTATGGAGCTGTTACTCAAGGTTGAAGGCAACAGTTCTTTTGTGTTTTTCTGTGAAAAAAGATCGGTTATAAAAGTTGAAAAACTGTAAAAATTTTATTTTCAATTTTAAACTAGATTGAGTTTTATTATTGCTTGTTTCATTATTCTTATTAATTGAAATAAAGCTTGTTTTGTTGAACAAAATGTGGTATTTTTTGGACTAAGCAATGGGAATGCAAAAACTAAAAAAAAATGACGTCGAATTTTTTGCTTATTTTGGAAATTTTAGAACTTTTAGGCCCGCGGGTATAAAAGGCGCCCTAGGGCGTAAAAGTACTACTTCACGCTATGAAATGCGGGCGTAAAAGTGTACTTTTACGCCCGTTCGTGCATAATAATTATTTAAACTATTTAATACATAGGTAAGTATACCTACCCACTTGAGTTGTTATTGTTAAATTGAATAGCAATTACTTAATAAATAATTTTTTTATCGAAATAAAATTCAATAAAATCTGGATAAAAAATTAATTGGAGGTGCCCTTATTGCGACCTTTTAAGTTTAATAAAGTGTAATCACTTATAGGTATGGGTTAGTAAAGTAATGCAAAACTAATAACATTTTAGTTTCTCAGAGGGCATTTTGAAAACTACAAAAACAATGAAGTTTCAAAATGTTTGAGATATATTGAGCCTCTGTAGTATCTTAACCTTTTGTTGTCCCCACCGCAAGTAGGTATTAAAAAAGTTTAGTTCATTATTTTACTTGCAAGTGAATATTATCAGCATCTGCTTTTCTACTTTAACATTAAACACTGAATAAAATGCATCCTATATAAAAAAATACGTATCCACCAAACAATCAAACAATGAAAAATCGGAGGGATTTTAATAATGTAAACATTTACGCGCAGCGCCGTTGCCACGTTGTGTAGCAATGAAGTAGGATGCCGCACATCGAGGGACATTATTTTAGTTGTTGACTGTACATACGTTATTACTACCACTACTGCATCAGCTAGCGCTAATTTATTATAAGAGAAACTTTTCGTCTTTGTTAAAACATTTTAATTTTTATGTTATGCTAAGCAATCATTTTTGATTTGAAAACCCCCCTCTATTGGCGGTTTCAAATATGTTATATTAAAACTATTTTAAAATTGAATTAAACTGTAATTTTCAAGGTTACTGGAGGTCTATCGTTTTGAAATTTTTTTTTTTTAATTCTCTAACCTCAAATTATATTAGGCAATTAGGCAATTCCAAGAGGCAATTCAATCCATCTGTCAAAAAGGAAAATTCAATGTGGCGTGGCGGCCAAGCAAGTTTGTTTTGAATATTTTTTTATGCGTAATTTAAATTATTTTGCATTCAGTTTTGCTTACAACTTTGATTTTCATTATTCAATAAAATATTTGTTGACTAGGTACCTAAACTATTAATTCGGGCAGAAACTAGGAGGAATAAATTCGTTTATTGGAAGCTTTATTTATGAAGAGCGCAAAATTAAAATTATTGAAAATAAAGATACAAATGAATTAACAAGGTTTGTAGTTTCAATTTGGTTGCATCCTATGCATAAGATATTTTAAGGAGAAGGCTTGAGGTAGCGTTAGCTTATAACTTACAATGTTAGTGGAGAGTTGTAGATCAATTAAAGCGGAAAGACAATTTAAAAAAAGGAAGCTTGTATGTGCTTTTTTATCCAGTGTAGGGCTCCAACAGTCGGTTTTGTTAACCGAAACTGGTCAAAGAATCCTATGTTGTCATATTTTTCGAAACAATCCACTCTCATCCTGTATCAGTCAATATAATTTTATATATCCTCATCATCTGAATGGGTCGAAATTTGCCATTTTGATATTGACATGAAATGTCTATGGAAATAACCAAAACATAGAAACTGTAATTTGGCACTTTATAGGTTGAATTGCCCTATAAAGTACTCTTTTCAATGCGTAATTGGCCAAGCTCGGCACTTCAAGGTAAACGTCACTTTTTCGTAATGGTTCCTTCAAAAACTGTTCATGGAACAGATTTTAGAAGTTAAAGGAGCTTTTTATGAATAAAGTAGGCTTTTTTGCGATTATGGAACTGGCCGTAATACAATAATAATCTATTAAACTTTTTCAATGATTTTTTACGCACTAAGTGAATTACTTATACGCACGGTACTAGAAAAAATAGTATATTGTGTTTTTAGGTGAAAAGTGACACATTCTCGGCCGACGGTGTAAGTTAACATAAGTAAACACCGAAGGCCGAGAATGTGCTTTTCCACCGAAATACACATACAATTTTTTCTGCGATCGGTTAAATATCTGTTAAATGTTTGTCTTTTTGTTCCAATTATTCAGCAGTATGAGAGTCACTTTCTCGGCCTAGGCCGGAAAAGTGATTCCCGTATTGTTATTCATTGATTCCTTAGCAACTATTGAAACAAATTCAACATACCAGGATATTGAGTTTTGCGACCTGTCAACCGATCAAAAATTCTGACATTTCTTGTCAATTGCAGAATTTTTTTTTTTTCCAAACGTCAAAAAAACGTCACTTTGTTAACCCCTGTCAAGATGTCAGAAATTTAATTTCTATGCTGGTAGGCAAATCCAGCAGGTAAACACCTGTCGAGGTTAGGGTTGCCTACCGTCCTGTATTAGGAAGGACGTCCTGGATTTCGAGCGATTTTAATAGATTTGTCCTTCGTCCCTCCGAGCCCTTAAAAAGGACGCATTTTGTCCTGGATTTTAACCAGTTGCTCAAACAATAAAGAATAAAAGATGTTTTTACTATTTATGATGACATCCGACAACAATGCACAGTTGCGCACTGTTATTTGCGAACGACGCAGTTACTCGCTAAAAAATCCTTTTAGTTAGAAATTAGGGTTTAAGCTTACTTTTCATGCATCCGTTTTTCCTTCAATCCGATGATCCGGAAGTATTCCTATTTGTTCAATATTTTGGCGCCAAAATACTGGACCAATAGGAATACTTCCGGATCATCGGATTGACGGAAAACGGATGCATGAAAAGTAAGCTTAATTTTTTGGTTTTTAAATTTATTTTGTTTAAAATTAATACAACGTTATATGATTAGGTGTCCTTTTTTGTTACTCTGTGTCCTTGTTTGTTTAAAGCTTTGTCCTGGATTTCAGAAAATAATAGTTGGCAACCCTAGTCGAGGTGGTAGAAATTCAATTTCTATGCTGCTTGGCAACCCCAGCGGTAGCAAAAGTACTTTTAGTGCCGCTCAACCATTCACTTGCCCTCGAGCTTACCCCATCCAGCTTCTACTCCTAATACAACAATATACTATTTTTTTTCTTTTTGGCTCAAAATCCACGTTTTTGGGCATGGCACCCGAAAAAATTTGTTGCCTTCGGCGGCGGGCATGTGGTGGGGCGGGGGTAGGGTTGCCAGATTTACGAGAGGGAAAAGCGTGGCAACAACGAGAAACTTATGAACCCTGTGGAGCAGCGACAGCGTTGTCGGGTTTAACCATTATTAGGCGTTTTCTGAAAAGCTCTATTCTTGTATTTTCCTTTGAATTTGAAAAGCGGGGCATTGAGGTCTTTTGACGTGGCGCGTGCCGCGTGGCAGGACGTGGAAAAGCGAAGTCATCACGCCTAAATCAGGGCGTTCGCGTCCGCCATTTTGAAAAAAAATTCGAGATTGGGAGTCTTGAGGGTCGTAGAGCCTGGCTAATCGGGTCAGATCTCTTAAAATGTGTTTCCTGACAATTATGCCAAATTTCATGCTTGTAACCCAATTTGGTGTTTTCTTCCAAAAATTCGTACGAGGGAACTCCACTAAATATAGTGGTTACGAAAATGCATCGACGTCTGGGCCAGGAAATGTATTGCGCGCCACACATTCCGGACTCAGGTGACTGATAATCAAAATGCCTGAAAGAAGGTGATAAGTAACAGTCAATTATTCGTAATATGCATAAATTCTGATAATAGACAACAATAGTAATTTAAAAAAAAAAGTTCAACGTAATCTTCATTATTAGCTTGATACTACACACCTATTAATTAGGTATTTAATATGTATGAAGGAATGTAGAAATATACAGGAGGGTTAGTAAAAAGTACTGCAACGCTTAAATATCTTCAAAACCGCTTATTGAACAGTGCTATCGGCAATGTTGCCAGATTTCCCAGTTTTGCGCTACACGTAGTCTTTTTGTTATCTTAATTCCTCATATATTTTTATTGCAATATAATATAAATAAATTGGGCGAGCCGAAAAAATAAATTGAGAATTCTCACAAAAAGCCTGAAGGTCTCAAAGTTTCTTCGATTTCTACTTATCGTCACTATGTTTACAAATTATCTAATTTTCCACCAATATTTTTCAACTTACCATTGGATGTATCGTAGGGTAATTTCTACAGCAAAACAAACCTCTTGTGAAAATTTGGGACTTGCGCGTATTATTAATAGGTACCTAAATATGGGGAACATGGGGTGTGAGAATTTGTTTGGTAGTACCTACATATCGTTTTTTTAAAAGGGGCGTGCAAAGCCGCGAACAAAAGTTACTATCTTATATAAACAATACTCTAGTCAAAATAATGTCACTTGATTTTCTATCATTTTCATTTTAGAATGGAATTGGAAACCCTCAATAGATATCAAGAAGTACTTAAGAATATCTTTCTGAAAGTGGTAAGTCATTTTAGCTAAGTAGGTATGCTGAATACAGTTTACCAAAAAAATTATTACTTGATAAAATAATTATCAATTATTAAAGCAATATTATTCAAATATTTTATTTTACTCTAGAATCCTCAATTGCTGACTAAAGTGACAACAGGTTCCACAGAAAGTCCAAAAAACTTAGCTGATATAGAAGATCCCAAAACTCAAACCGAGTAAGTTGAGTGTTGTTTATTCATATTGTCCATTAATTGACACCATTTTTTCAGCACACACCCTCAGCCACAAAATACCACTAGTTCATCAAACAACCCAGTGGTGTCGTCACAAATAGTAGACCCTAACGGCCAAATAATAGACCAGGAAAATGTGCAGAAAGAAATGGTTGAAGTCGAATATGAGTCGAAAACTGTCCGAGAAGCAGTCTACCAGATAAATAAAACCAATGATTCTGAAAATGCAGTGCCATCAAGAAAGTCAGGAGAAAATTCAAAGTCAGTAACAAAAAATCCACCAACAAGCCATATGAAATCTAGTGGCAAAAACTTTAAAAGCAAATCTACAAAAGATGGTCCAAACGTACTGAAAGAATTTGACATATTTGGAAATTTGTTTGCTGGCACTACGAAAGGAAAAAATATAACAGAGAAAGGCGATAGAAGGAGTAGTATAGGTAGTTTAGATTCAGATAAGAAGAAACATAAACAAGATGACAGTAGAAACAAGAAATCAGATGCAAAGGCTAAAGATTCAAATAAACATGATAAAAAAAAAATACACAAGGAAGATAATGAAGCAAATAAAGATAAACAATCGACCAGCGAAATCTCAAATGCCTTCCAAACACCTTTAGAGACTGAAGTAAATACTGACACAGAAAATGAGCGGTCTCCATCAGAAATGATTACTTTGAAAACTCAAAGTACACCCGCAATCCAAAGCGGCTCTTCACAAATTATTGATTTGATCAACTCGCAAAGTGAGAACAAACTAGTCGATAAATTCTTAGCAAATGAAAATCCAAAACCCGAAGAGTTGCCAATAGAATTGCCTAATGTCGATAGCGCCGTTTCTGATTGCATTCAAGATCCGCTTGATAGCAACAAAAATTTAGATTCAACCCCAAAACAACAAAAAGTAACTGCCTTGATTCCTTCCTTGAGTGAAATTTCCCTAGGGACTAACCAAAATACGGAAACGATTCAGGTCAGATCAGAACTAACTTCAGAATCACAAATACTGTCTCAACATAATTTGAGAACACAGCCAACTGTTTTTCACACACCTCCTTCACCAATTCTACCCTCGAGCTATTTGACACCTCCTCCAATACCAAGAATCATCTCACCAAATCCTGAATTACTAGGAAGATCGTTTATGCAGCAAACTTCTGGAATTTTGACACATCCATTGGCTAATTTTTCTCATGTCAATATGAATCTAGGTACCCCTAGATCTGATTTTACTACTCCAAGAGCCGATTTTGCTATACCCAGGCCTGATTACGGTTCTGTCATGACTCCCAGACCTGACTTTGATACACCACCTGCAAACAATAATGGCGCATCTCAGTGTAATGGGAAAAATCAATTTGATAGTTTTGCATTCGAAAATCGAATGCACAGTTTGAATCAAAGAAGTGACAATAATAATTATATGGTATCTGGACATTTTATGCAACAATTAGGCAATATGAATCCCTATGATTTAGCTCAAACGGCTCTTATTCAGCAACAAGCTCTGAGCGTAAATAATAGTTATACCTCTTACCAAGCCTCTCAAGGCTTTTATCCGCAAAGAAATCAAATGCAAATAAATACAAATTATAAACGACCTAATAATTATTTCTGTGAAGAATATCCTTTGTACCAAGAGCGATATCAATGGCCAGGAAGGAGTAGTGAAAAAGAAAGACGTCCGCAAAGGCCGCAAGGCCCTACAATTTATAGGGAATATAGGGAAATAAGGTATGAAAGGGCTCAAGAGCAAAATTCAATAAAAGATCCACGTTTAAAACCAAGAGAAACAAAAGACGAAGATGAAACAGAAACGGATATTAGAGATTCAAGATTATCTAGAGGCAGGGAGCGATTCAGATCCAGAGATAGATCATCCAGTGAAGAAAAGGTAAAATCCAGAGACCCTAGAGTAAACGCAAAAATCAAAGATAATAGGTTGGACTCAAAGTATGAACAAAAAAAGAAAGATGACGATGAGGTATTTGGTTCCTCTTTAAACAGTCTTTACGATGATGAAGAAGGCAGGAACGGTCCCGGTTATGGTTTACAAAACTTTCAAATTCCAAATAAATCTAGAAAAGCTGACATAATAAATGATCAAAAAAATACAGAAGAAACGCGAACTAGTTGTGAAACAAGAACCAGCATGAATAGCAGTACTGGTACTACGGAAAGAAGCAGTAGCGCTAGCGATACACATAATGACGGCAGCGATAAACAGTCGAACAGTAGCCAAAAACTATCAAGAAATAGCGGTGGTTGCAAAAAAAGAATATCGAGCAAATCGGATAAAAGCGAAACAAATGACAATCTAGATATCCTAGATGAAGCAGATTTTAGTCACGTTTCAACTATGGATATAACAGTAGAATATGATGACAAAGACGCTAATGTTAAGGATTCAACAAATGAATTAAATGAAAGTCGAACAGTTTCCTATAATAACAAATCTGAAGAAAATAATAATATCAGTGAAAGTAAGTTAGTGCAAGAATGCATTAAAATTGCTGCGAAAAAACAAGAAATTGTTAAATGTTCTTCCTCCAAAGATATTTCAGAACTGCATTCATCACAAGCAACCCTTTCTGGTGAGAGAATTGAGGAAAATAATTCTGCAACTTCTACAGAAATTTCACTAGCCAAACCTATTAGCAGTGATACACCAAATACCCAAGATGAAAGCTTCAGAATGTGTTCACTTTCAGAATCATTCCTAGGTACATTGAATTCTCAACAGATACAGAGAGTTGGAAGTGTGTTAAGTAAGGAACAATCTAACAAAGAAAACATTTCTGGACCCAATAAAGCAAAAAAAGGACAGCAAATAATTTCCAGTATTGTAACAGAACGTGATAATGATGTAGAAAATAAAGACTTACCAATAAGTATTAGAAATACTGATGAGACACAAGTAAATGAAGTTACTGAATCTCTGGAGCATTTGGAAAAAGAACAATGCAATGAAGGACATTTAGATTCAGAACCTATAGTAGTGAGTATTGGTGGAAGAATTAAAAATCGCAGACGTGCCTCTCAGGTAGCAGCAGCTCGAAAAAGGAAATCTGAATTAGACCTTCTTAATGCTGATATTCAAAACATGTTTATCAACGAGGGTGTTCTTAAAGCTACTGGTAAGAGAAGGTGTGCGCAAAAGGACGATCCCATTGTACTTTTGAACCCTGAGCAACAATCCATTCTTGACGAATCAGAAAGAATAAAAACGCGTGGACCTAAAAGAAAAGTGGCGTGCAACAGCTCAGAAATGACAACTCTGAAGCAAATAAAAATAATCATGAAAAAGATTCCGGATGATGTCGTGTCAGTGCGATTAGCTTCTGTGCCATCTGAAACACCTTCTCTAAGCAACTCAGATTTGAACGATATTCCTGTTGTACCTGATATAGATTATTACTATGATTATACAACAAAGAGTAAGCTAAATTGCAAATTATGTCAATATAGTGGACATCGGATGACTGTGCATTATCTGAGAGAGCATCCGGGATCGGAAGTTTTAACTTCAAGACTATCTCCTCATGCTGCAGCTGAAGCCATTGAAGATTATGCTTTGAACAAAGAAACTTTCAAAAATGTAGCATACAAAGAATTAAGTAATAGAAAGTTTCAATATTCTTGCCGATTCTGTGGGTATGTAGGTTTTTTTTCACCACAATACTTTTACGATCATGTTACTATGCACACTGGGGAGTACCGACATAGATGTGAATTTTGTGAATGTATTACTGCAAATTTTTTATCAATGTCTAAACACTATCGTAATTTTCACCCAGATGAAGAAAAAAGTGAAAGAACAGCACCAAAACAGTTTGATTTTGCTATTGTTTTCGCCTATATGTGTAGCGAATGCAATTTTGTTCAGTTAGAAAAAAAAAGCTTACAAGGTCATATTAAAGTTTATCATTTTGGCGCTAAGTCGACTATTCACAAGATTAATATATCTAAAATCTTAGATCTTCCACTGAAAAATGCGAAGAGTTCTGATTCTACTAAGAAAGGTTCTACGGAGGTTTTGCCGACAAAAAATAGCACAACTCCTGTTCGTAAATCTGCTGCATTGATAAAACCTCGGTCCAAATCGAAAGAAGCAATAGCGTCTCCTCTAAAGCATTCTCAGGAAGATGTTGTTGCTCCGGTTAGAAAGAGACGACGAAGTCTGGATAATCTCATAAATAAAGATAGTAAGGATGATTTAGATACGATCATCAATCTTTCCAGTAGAAGTAATCGGGCAGCTAAGGAAAAGGCTACTGCAAAATTAAAATTGTTTATCGAGAGTGATGAATCAGATTCTGAAAAAGAATCCTCTGACCAGGAATCGACTGAATCTGACCAAGAATCGGACGAAGAGCAAACGAATGTTGAAAGAAATAGAACTTCAGTTGAAAACCACATTGAAGAAGTTAAAAGGGTTCGCACAATTAGTAGTACAAATACTAATGAAATCGCCCCTCCTGTTGAAAATAAATCAAGGGAAAGTGATCTTGATGTATTCATGTGCGATATACTTCCAGAACAAGCTAATACAATAGAAGAAGACGAATTAAGGCAAATGGACGAAGTGAATAAGTTATTTCTTGAGAAACCTGAACTAGCTTTTATTAGAAAATTATCTAATCGACCAAACAGTGCGCAAGAGCTAGAAGCCATAACAATAAAAAAAGATCTTCCAGACACAACTGAACATCAACAAATGCCACTATTAGAGAAACTCGTTCCAGTATCTAGTACTGAGACGCCACCCTTTGTAAAACTTCCACAAAATAAAGTTCAAAATTTGCTCTTCAATTCAATTCAAAAGCTGCAGGAAAAAATTAAAGAGACTGTTCAAGAAGATTTATTAAAGAGAAATGAAAACCTGGAATTCTCAGTTCAAGATAAAACATCTAACGATGAGTTGATACCAGAAATTCGAGAATCGATTATATCCCTAGGAGATCTAATAAGAGCTACTAGAACTGACTCGGGTATATTGTATTCCTGCCATGTAAATGAATGTAATTTCACCTCAAAGGACAAAATAATATTTAAAATTCACTGTAAGCTTGGCATTCATGAACACATTCAAGCAACTTCTTCGTTGTGTGATAGGTGTGGAGTACTTGTGAAAATTACTCAAGGTAAAAAATTATTAGAAAATTTATATGAACATTTGGTAAATGCTCATGGAAACTTCATTTCTCCAATGTCTCCAGTTGGCGTAGGCAATGATAAACTATTATTGATTAAAAAAGGAAAAGAATCTAAAACAGAAGACTCAAAGGAGCAAAAATCTAAAGAAATTGTATTGTTGCAAGATATTCAGGCTGAAAATGATGCGTCTGTTTTGTTAGCTTCAAAATCTAATACCCCTTCATTTTCAATATCTGATACTTGTCCTCCTCTGCAAATAGTAAATGACTCTGTAGTAACTTCATTAATAAAAGAAGGACCTGCTGCAACTGCGGCAATGATAGAACCAACAGATGATACATCACATGATTTTAAAATCGTTGAAGTTACCTCATTGGCCGAGTCTGATCATATTGAGCCGGTAGCTGCCGTCATAAATACATCACATGATTTTAAAATCGTTGACGTTACCTCATTGGCCAATACATCACATGATTTTGAAATCGTTGACGTTACCTCATTAGCCGAATCTGATCATATTGAGCCGGTAACTGCCGTCATAAATACATCACATGATTTTAAAATCGTTGACGTTACCTCATTGGCCAATACATCACATGATTTTGAAATCGTTGACGTTACCTCATTAGCCGAATCTGATCATATTGAGCCGGTAACTGCCGCCATAACAAAATTACCTCCATTAGTACTAGCCAGCCAGGAAGAATCCCCACCACAATCGAAAGTAATTAGAGAAGCAAAATTAACAAGTCTCGAGGCAAGTCAACCAAGAAAAGAAGCCCAAGCTCTCCAATCACTTATAGAAACACCTGGAAATCTATACAAATGTCCTCACTTTTCTTGTAAGTTTAGTTCGAATGTGCGCACTGTGTTCGCGTCCCACTTGAAAGAACACACATCTGAAAATACTACCATGGTACCATGTGTCTACTGCGACGTGAAAACACCTTGGGATCACGTGTCAACGCATATAGACATCAGGCATGCTGCGAGTAGACATACTTGTCGGTATTGTTTGTATAGGGCGGTGGCTGCTGAGTATGTTTGTTTGCATCTGGAGCAGTGCCATCCTAATCAAGCTTTTGTTGTTATCTCAGTTCCTCCACATAAAGCTGCCAAGAAGTTTTCTGCAGCTAACATAAAAATTGACTACAAGCAACTTTGCGAGCCATATCGTTGTGTATGTACAAACGAAGGTGAGTCTTGAATTGAATTTAGGTATTTATTCGTATAGGTACTTAATTGTTTTTGTTTTTCCAGATGGAAACTTAAAATCTCACGAGTATCTATTTGGAAATGAATTTGTTAAACATCTCAATATTCACAAACAAGACTCTGTCCAGTGCGGATATCCCAGATGTTTCCAGAAGTTGGACCCCTCCGCGATGCTTAACCATTGGGCACTGGTCCACAAGGTTGGCATTTATCAGTGTAGCAATTGTAAAGTGAATAGTGAAGACATTTATAGGATGTACAGCCACTTTGCTGAAGTGCATCCCAATATGATGCCCAATATTTTAGTTAGAAAGAATGAATCTTCTTTGCCGAAGGTAAGTTTTTATTTTATTTATTATTACCTACCTTTTTATACAGGGTGTCACGAAAAGTTTGTTACAAACTTCTAGGGATGGTAGATCCCGTAATAATTAGGCTTTTTTTTTAATAAACATGTGTCCGGAAATGCTTCGCTTTCCAGATACAGGGTGTTGAACTTTGTAATAATAAGCCAAATGCCTGCGTTTTAGAAAAAAAATGTTTTCATTTTTTTTTTGTTTATATTTAAGCAACAAATAGGTTGGTAAAATTTCAGGTAATTCTGTAATTTTTTTTTTTAAATTTATGGATGTCACTGATGTCAGTGACGTTCGTGGCTCGTCTAAGATGGTTTTTAAATTGTATCTCGAAAACAAAGCAGCATACTGTAATGAATAGATAGAACTTCTGAATTATACCAAAATATTGGCTTTATTAGACAAAGAACTTGACATAACAAACTGATTAAGGGCGAGTTCTCATGAGCGTAAGTTGACATTTCTGGCGTAATCACATGATAAAATGGTTGGATTTTATTGGTAAAATATCTGCCATGCTGGAGATTTTACCAATCAAATTACACCATATTATCACGAGATTACGCTAGAAATGTCAACTTACGCTCATGAGAACTCGCCCTAATGCAATTGAATGCAATGACAATCATAGATGACAATAACATATCAAATGATAAAAGTTTTCGACTATTCGGTGATAAATGCTTATTTGAAACAGATATTTTTTTCCCATTTTTCAGTCTGACAAACGAATAATGCGGATTTTATTCTATCAGCTCAACTTCCTCAACTAAAGGGTCATATTTGCTTGTGCGAATATGCTTCTTCATCAAAATTTATCCCGGAGAAGTCAGCCAAAATGGCAATGAGTCGCCCGTAGTAGATTTTCTATTATGACGAAACATTCTTTCATGTGTGTGGAGTGACATTCGTTGCGGTGCAGAGGAGAATCTGATGCAATGTAATGATTCATCCAGAACAGATTCCCATCTGGATACATTCAAGTTTTGCGATTTCAGCGCTAATTGAACTGTTCTCCAAATCGTACCATTCTCTCTCTATTTGCCCATTTCCTTCTGGATTGTAACTGGTAGTTCTACTGGTAGCTATTCCTCGCTCTTGAAAAAGTTTTTCAGTTCTGAAGACATGAAAGCAGATCCATGATCTGAGTGTATAAAATTTGGCATTCCAAATAATTGAAAAATACTTGTCAAGTGCTTCTTAACGGAAACTACTGAAACATCAGGGCAGGGAAAAGCAAAAGGAGTATTCATCGATTATAGTGAGTATGAATTTATTGTTTGTTGAACTTGGTAATGGTCCTTTAAAATCCATGGATAATCTCTCAAATGGAACTGCTGCTTTTATTATTGTTTCCTTATTTTTGAAAAATCGAGACTTTACTTGTAAACAGACTGAACAGTTGGCAATCATTTTTCTAATATCCTCAGCTGAATACGGTAGATTTTTGCTACGAACCCATTGAATCATTTTCGTGACACCTGGATGACATAGACTCTAGTGGAAATTTAACAGTTTCTGTTGTTCTTCTTTAGTATTTATAATGGCACAAACCCTTGATAAAGCATCAGCCACTATGATTCTCTTCCTGATCTATATACAATGTCATATTTGTAACAGGCCAATTCTAACCGCCATCGTTGTATTTTATCATTTTTTATTTTTCCTGTATGCTTATTAGTGTAGTCAAGTTATCGGAATTTAGGTCCAACTTCTGAAAAAATTATATACCTACAAATGTTTATGAGTGGGAACATACAGATAATGTGGCCCTAGATGACATACTAAAAGTCCCGTAGATTCTGACAATGGCAAAAAAGTGGTCGCCAATAGCTTTGTTTGTTTATTTGCACCAATATGGCACTTTCTACTCCAAATGTATTTTAATCCTTATATTTTTGTTAGTCTGACAGAGACAGACTGATTTTTTGCTGCACCTGGTGCAGCTTGGTGTAACTTTGGTGCAAATAAACAAACACACCCATTAGGATCGTCTCGACCGGCTGCTGCAGTTTATTAGAGCAGGAAGATCAGGCAACTTCACAATTACTGTTTAAAATTGATGATCCCAATATTTTACGCAACAGGTCATAATAATTATTCCTAAAGTACCCACCTTTATCTACAACAGATTCAGAAACTTCATAATAGGTATGAGTCGTGAAAACTATGAAAAATTTGTTGATGAAGGAATGTTCACTTGTAAGAAGAACCAACAACTTTTGGTCCGGTACTTGGGCCGACATGGTGATCGAGCAGAATTTGATGAGGTCAATCAAAACAACTAGTGGCCTAACTCATGGACGCGGATTTACTAATTCGTCTTTGGCCAGATGCATAGAGAAATATAATAAACCCAGGTAAGAGTTACCGATTCATATGCGCCAAGTGGCAACGTATTTCTTGTAGCCCATGGTGGCGCTAGTATAGCTTGGAACTTTCTGACAATTCTGACATCGCCTTGCATTCTTATATCTGTCTCTTTTTAAGAGATGTCATAATAAAGGAAGAGAGGAGTGAGAGGACATAGGGTTTTTTATTTATTACATTGCGATTTCTAACCTATAAATTGACATTTTCATTTTTCAAAACTGACAGAAATAAGTGAACCTAAAATTGACTAGTTTATTAAAAATACATGATTCTGGTAAGATTTAGAATGTGAAAATCGTTAAGTTCATGCATAAAGAATGATATTTAAATATTAACCCACTTTTTGTTGTAATTTTTTTGCATTTTATTAGTCACAAAGTTATATTTATGTATAATTTAATTTTTTTTATTCTTTGTTAAATGTCAAAGATCAAAATATATAGATTACTTCCTGAACATTTTTTATTTTTGTTTCCCGGCCAGCGTTTCTCCGCATTTTTTTTTTTCTGTCGACTGCGGAAAAACGCTGGGCTAGAAAAATAATAAAACTTTAATTTAAAAATTCAAGAAGCCCGCCAAATATTATTTAAGTTTATCTTGTAGTGGATAGGGGCGCTAGTATCGATATGACGTCATCGCGATGCCAGTGTCGCACCACAGAATCGGTAATTCTCACCTTGGTTTATTATATTTCTCTATATGGCCAGATGGATTGCTGGTTTGTCAGTTTGTATGCCTGTTACAAAAGCTTTTGTAATGTAAGTCTGTGACTTCAGAACAGCATATAGAATTGAGTCGCTCACGCCAGCAACGTGACAAAATACAACCCTTATAAATGCAAGGAGTTAGGAGTTCATGTCAGTTTTCTCTGGACGAATAGCTAAATCCGATATAAACTGCGATTTAGCAGATAAAATTGGAAGAACAGTACTAACAAAAAATATAGGCAAAGTATTCACAGATATTAAATGCAAGCGAACGGATCAACTCAAAAAATTTTCAGAAATCAGCAACATTATTAAATTTTTTCATAGTGTATACCGGTCTGGCAAGTGAACATCTTACATGCCAATTTAAATGCAATAGAATGAAACGTCTAGAATAAGTCTAAGGTTGAATAGAGAACGGAAACGATTTCCCTTGTTCCACCTCCAGCGTTCCAAGCGCTGCATGCTGGAGGTGGAACAGGGGAAATCGTTTTCGTTCTCTATTTAACCTTGGACTCTTCCTATACATTTCATTCTATTGCATTAAAATTGGCCTGTAAGATGCTGGCTTGCCAGACCTGTATATTTTTCTATTTTTCTCTACAAGCGTGCGAAAAGTGCTTCTTTCTGCACGCATTTCAGGCCAGAAAAATATCACTTTTTCGCACTAGTATGCGGAAAAGTAGAATAATTATACAATTTAAGGTTACCCTGGTACTTTTATGTCCTAAAATGCCTCATGTCCCGATTATTATCAAAGAATAGAGATGGAGATGGAAAATAGCAACATTAGCAAAATAAAGTAATAGAGTATAGAACTGAACACAAATAACAAAAGGACAGAATACTAATACCTTCCTAATCTAAGACTAATACCACTTGTATAATTCTTATACAAAGTTGTGTAAATTTGAATTACATGATACCCACGAGAGCTCCGACCATCCATGAGAGGTTACTTATGGAAGCACCTGCCTGCCCCAATGCCCCCATGTACTCGGCGCCAGTGGCCTGGGGCCTGTTATTGTAACTTATTGGAATCTTTAAAAAAGTAGAACAGTGCAATTACTCAGGTATGCACCGTAAGCTTATTTCGAGGATAAGTTATGGAAACCTACATTAGATATAGTATGTAATTTTAAGATTCAAGAGTGGATGGGATATATGTTAGATCCGTTATTCTATGGATGGGAACGAGATAGAGATGAACATCTTGCGCCTACATCCGTAACAACAGAAATTGCCCCCTCTGATATACTAAAAATGGTATTCTGTAATTGCAAGGAAGGGACATGCAACAAGGCATGCTCCTGCAGAAAACTTGAATTAAAATGTTCTGCAAAATAAGTCAATGCTTAGGAATGATTTGCTGGAATTCGTGCATCGTATATGAAAATGATGATGATGATATTACTTATAATTGAACGTAGTAGGTACCTATATTCTTTTGTGAAACTGGAAAAAGTCAGTAATTATTTAAATACATGATGCTGATACATCCCAACAAATGTAAATTTGCATTTTAAGTAAAAAATATCCCTACACTTTTCCTCATAAACCTGATAGTTTTTGAGATATTTCCAATAAAATGTAAAAAACAAAATGGCGGCCGTTTTTTTCAACTTGCCAGAGACATAATCCATGGGACTTTTATGGCGTTTCCGATTGGTAGATTTAGTGCGGAACTAGTGCAATTTTTTCTATTTCTGTCTTTTTCTTCTACAGGTCGATTAAAAGGATGCAAATACACTCGGTGCGCACTGAATCTACCAATCGGAAGCGCCATTAGTATGTTGTTTAGAACGTTACTCCTCGTATATTTTTGCTAAGAAATGCTTGTATAGAATTTTTTCAGGTTCAACATCTAACTTGCCTACACTATATCATCAAACATAAAAAAAACAGAGCGTTGATTTGTTATTAGTCGAAAAGGTCGTCCAATAAAATGTCTCCATTTCTGAAGCGATTCAACTATAGCATAGGCTTCCTTTTCGACTGACGAATGACGTTTCTTGCTTTCCAACAGTATCCTTGAGAAAAATGCTATAGGAGCTCCATTTTGTGATAAGCAACTTCCAATGGCATAGTCTGATGCGTCTGTTTCTACTGTGAATGTGAGATTTTCATCAATGGCAGTGACAACAGCTTTTGAAATATCTTCTTTCAAAGCTTTGACAGTCGATAGTGCTTCTTGTGACATAGGAAATGATGAGGTCTGATTTTATCCGAATATCTTGGAATCCATTTCACATAATGGGAAAACATTCCCAAAGGGAACAATCATATTTTTCAAATTATTTTTTTTCTTATTGCTTATGTTTTCAAATATCAACTGTCTGTAAACACAACGTTAAGGTCTGTTCTCACAAGAGCCTCTAACACTTTGCAAACTGTCAGAAAGAATCGCTGAGCTCGAATCTTCGACTGCATTGAAAGCCAGGGGCGCCGGGTTTCAGAAAACCTCGTGGGTGCTGATGTTCATGCACCGGCATTTATGAGGGGGGGTTAACAGCCCGCCGGCCGGTGGCGAAAAAACTTCTCCAGAAGCCACGCCCAAAAACGTTTACCAGCATTATTTAATTTACATTCGGACGAGTGTCTAAGAAGGGAATGGTAATACATTTGAAACAACGTAGTTCACACCTTTCCATATTCGTTTTCCAGCTACGGGAACTAGTGTTGTTTGGTGCTTGCGTAAGTTTTTTTGCAGTGCCTGTTGAAATTGGAAAAAAAGGAAGGCTATAAGGGTAAAGAGTAGAGTGTTTTCACAGCTATCAGAACAATACCCACTTCTACCACGTAAAAGCCCCTCTCCAGCATAGCCATCATAGCCCTCCATTAATCTATTTTCAAAAGGCGCCGCCGATCTAGAGATTTTCCCACGGTATCGAAAACTTCCTAGGCTCAAGTGCCCCCAGCTATCAGACTAGCAGATTCACAAGCAAAATATTTATTATTGCAATAAAATTAATGCACCTGTTTATGACCAATACTCACCTCACAGCTATCAGAGCAATACCCACCTCCACTACGTCAAAAAGCTTCTACTCTGAAGAGGTACCTCTTTCCATATCCCTTCACTTTGTTGAAAACTAAAGAATATTTCAACTATTCCTGCAATTTGTATTCGTCAATAGTGTTCTAAACTCCATGAGAATAATTTTATTGCAATAATAACATTTTGCTTGTGAATCTGGTGGACCACTTACGTAGTAGGGGTGGGTATTGGTCTGATAGTCGGGGGCACTTGAGCCTGGGAAGTTTTTCGTAACGTGGGAAAATCTCTAGATCGGCGGCGCTCTTGATCTGAAATTTTGGGGATTTGACCCAGGCCAACCCCAAAATTGACGAATTCGAATACAAATGGAAGAATTGGTTAAATATTCTTTAGTTTTCAAGAAAGTGAAGGGATATAATAAAGTGCCATCTCAGGGTAAGAGCCTTTTGAAAATAGATTAATGGAGAGCTTCACGGAAGGGGGTACAGTGGAGGTGGGTAGTGGTATGATGGCTGTGCTGGAGGGGGGTTTTTTACGTGGTAGAGGTGGGTATTGGTCTGATAGCTGTGAAAAAACTCTACTGTAAAGTGTGAAAAACTCTCCTGCAGATATTCTTTTCCAAGCAGCATGTACCGAAAATCTGCGTTTTACGCTGTTTTCCATAAAACATTTCTGATTTTCTTCGTCTTCTTCTTCTTCTAAACAAAGTGCCACCATGTTCCGATATTAACTGCCAGTACTGGATTTACTGTGCTGATTTTACTGTACTCTTGTGCAGTACTGAATCGACTGTAAGAATATGGTCCAAATATAACCAAACGTTAACCATTAGCTCTGTTCCAACAGACATGAGAACCGTTCCAGAACCAATAATTTCCAGTTGCCCACCTATTTTTCAATAAGTTGAACGTTTATCCTAATTGACAAATGGATTGATCGACTGGAAATTACCGTTCTAGAAAGGTTTTCATGTCTGGTGGAACAGAGCTAAAGTAACCGAATCGGTCAACAGATGTTTACTGAAAATTCCGGTTACTTTGGGAAACGCAAATATGGAAATAAACCATAATTGACAGAAGTTACAGATAAAACCTTGATGAAACCTCTATGGATGAAAACAACAGAACCGACATCCGATGGCCGGTAACTATTTTGACATTTGGTTAACCAGATTTCAGGAACCCGAGGTACAAAATTAACCAGTTTTCCAGGAACTAGAGAGGATTATCAGTTTTTATGTCTAATATGCTCGTGGGTGCTTCGCACCCACTGTTTACGTCTCGTGGGTGCTCGAGCCCCCGAGAACCCACGTAGTCGGCGCCCCTGTTGAAAGCAGTTATTACGTGGTGTTTCCGTATTTAGTGCCGTATTATGACATTTCTTGTGTTAAATCCTTCATCATGGTTGGGTTGATAAATGATTTACAAAAGCACAGTCTTACAATCTTCCCTCTATACTAGACTCATTTATGGTGGTTCAATATCAGTCGTGGCGAGATGTGAGCTGATTGTGGACTAATCGTTCTACGACTCAAGAGTGGACCACGAAAACGTGGACCGTGGATTCACGATCAGTGTAAACTACCCTTAACCTTAATTTACGAACAGTTGACGTCACTGGAAGCGGCCATGTTAAACGTAACTTTTCCGCGCGAAACTTTTCAATTTAAAACTAATAATTGCCGTATGACTACAATATCGATAAATTTAACGCAAAACTGCTCATATTCAATATTTTACAGAAAAAAGTGCACCATAAAAACAAAATAAGCCATATTTATTTCTCATTAAAATTCCCTATTCCGGATCAAAGGGCGAACAAGAAATTCAAATCCGGCAGGTCATTTTACATAGGATTTCATGTTTTTTAGGTGGATGTTCGCGACTTGTATAGAGCATCTTTAAAATGCTTCCTAGGAGGCGTCAGATTCCCAACTATAAGCAGTTTCTGGATAAACAACACCTGCATAGAAAAGGATTTTGCATCATGCGTTTACATTTTAAGTTTAAATAAACAAATGATCTAATTAACATAACTAGGAGTTTGACGATGTTCCAACCGACATGAGAACCGTTCTAGAACGGTAATTTCCAGTTACCCACCTATTTCTCAATAAGTTGAACGTTTATCCTAATTGACAAATGAATTGATCGACTGGAAATTACCGTTCTAGAACGGTGCTCCATGTCGGTTGGAACAGAGGTAATATAATTTGCGTACCTATCTACAGTATTAAGTATTCTAAGGGACCTATCATGTTCTTAGTGGTACTCTCAGGTCGTCTGTCGTATGTCATATGATTCAAGCAGATTATAAGCGGAATCCTGCATTCCCATTTTGTGAAGTTTAGCACCAACAGTGTTGAATGTTTTTTTTTTTAAATCCACATAGATTACTGTTACGTGTCTATTCCTATTTAAATCGAAGGAGATTGGTGTTGATCAAATTTAATTTTTTTTTCTATAAATTCAATAAGTCTTATTTTAATGCATTTTTCAACTAATTTTGAAAACGTGGTTAAGACTGAAATAGGCTTGTAGCTCCCATTTTGGTATACTGATATAATCTCTACTAGATTGTGTGATTAAGGCCGGGGTTATCCAATTCCTTAATTCCTAATTTTTGTTCTTAATTCTTAATCGTTAAAAACCTCAATGTTAAATAAATTGAACTTTTTAAGAATTAAGAATTAAGGACAAATATTAAGAATTAAGGAATTGGGTAACTCCGGCCTAAGACTACTTTATCCCTTATTATATTGAAGAGTTCAATCATGTCTGCCATGATTATGTTGGCATCTCTAGTTCTAGAATCAAAATTTATACCAGGACAGCATATGTTTTTCAAAATAAGAAAGATAGGTAGATAGGAAAATAATTTATTGATCAATATCGTAAAATACATAAATTTCCTTTAAAAAAAAAACATTTATCTTTTTCAGCATAAAGAAGTAGGATATGCAGATGAAGCTTACCGATACCTTGGCTACATCAGAAAATTTCCTCCTACTCTATTGTCTATAATAATAAAGCGATCTCAATGTAAAGAAATCAGGATAATTGAGTCCGATTCAAGCGATACCTCTGAAGAATCAACTATGGCCTTGACTCCACCTATAACGTCGCCATCTAATACCCTGTTTTCACCGATCTCACAGAAAAATAGCCAGTCAGTTTTGAGCAATCCAAATCTTCCAATATCAGCTGCATCTACCACTACAAACGACGAAGTTTCATTATTATCTAACAATTCTAGGGTATCCCAGTCGAAAATACCATTAGGAACATCTACTGCGTCTCTCGGCCAGACTTCTACAGCTTCTGCGGCATCAATTTCAAAACACCCAGGGCCTACTGGCAAAGTCTTACTTCAAACTTCTACAATATCGCCAAACGAATTTATGTTTATACCTAGAAAAGAAACAGAAGTAGCTACTCATCATACTCCTGAATTATCTGTTGTTAGTGTTACTTATAAACCGGATGAAATTGATTCAATACCCGATCGGCAGATATTTAACACTAATCTTAAATGTGGAGAGTGTAACTATCAGACAAAAGTTAGGGTAAGTTCAAATAAGACGTTTTACCATTACCAGGAATAATATTTATGTAACCTTGCATTAATGTCTTCGAATTTAGACATCAGTTTTTCGACACCATTTTTGCCCATTTCTCTATTTATTCTTTGTTGCAAGTTTTTATATTCGATATGGTTTAAGATTTTCATCAATTGGCTTGGCAACTAACTGCATGAATAAATAGAAAAAATAACGAAAATCATGTCAAATCATTTTTAATAATTTTTTGTTAGATAAATATTAAAAGGCATCTTCAAATGCATTTAAACGAGGAAGTTGTTCCTGATACTGCCCCAGTAAATCCAGCACCTTGTCTTGAGAAAAATAAAAAACTGTTTGATAAAATGTGGAATTTGGCAGCTAGTTCTTTTCCTACCGGAAGAATGGGAGGATCTCCTGTTGTAAAAAGTAAGTAGGTTATTAGTAAGTTTTATCTGTAATTAAGTTTACTTTTTTACTTAGAAAAAGACCAAAACAAGGACAAGTACCCTGAATTTGTACCAAGTCATCGCCGATTCGTATGTTCTGCTCAAGGATGCTCATATCTATGCCCTAAAGAGAATAACTTGAAACAACATATTATGGATTTCCATAAGAATGAAGCTAACTTCACGTGTGCCCATTGCAAGGTCGCTATAGATTCTAGTGACGTGAAGAACGTGATCACGCATATTAAGTTGCATGGATTGTATTTATACAAATGCAAATACTGTAGTTTTGTACACTATTTGAAGCACAAAGTCCAGAAGCACATTTTGGATGGGCATTCGAATTTCGCTGTTGAGGTTGTTCCAGTAAGGTATGATTCACTTATTTTCGAGGAATTACATGAACATGTTTAAATAGATTGTGGTAAGACCACACAATTATGAATTCATATCAGAAACTTAACTTTTAAAAAACAATTTATTAAATTAAGTGAATACGAATTACAGTTGAAACTAATTACTCTGGCTAGGCCTGAAAATAATAGAACAAGCTTGCACTGTACTTACAATCTGTCCTTATATACACAAACGATCAAAATTACTTTCAGTTACTTAGCACGCACAAACAAAGGAAAACCTAGCTTTTTGCCCGAGGCAAAACGAAGATAAAAAAAAACTTTTTGGTGGAGACTCACTCACTGCCAATTTTCGTGATTCTTAAAATCTTACTATCAAATCAACTGCTGGATGTTATCTCTCTCTTTCTGATTGTAACCTGCTTAAATAGTACTCAATTCCCACCAAAAATCTGTTACGTGGGCGGTCATTTAGCATGTCTCGAACCAATCCGCTTATTTAACCTCGTTTATCGAGTGATAAACGACATTGTTGTTTTTACTTAGGAAATGATGCAACATCTTGCAAAAACACCGGTGTTTTAGTTTATCAGTTATGACGCAATTAAATCACATGTGTAAAGTGATTTCCGGTTGAACGCTTCCTAATCTTATAATTTTTTATTGACTTTTTTTTTATCAGAATGTCGCAAGAGTCAATTAATTGGGAACATTGAACTTTGACATCCGGTCGCTTATCGCTTGCGTTGGTAAAAAAAATTGTTATATAATTTGAGTTGAGCTTAGAAATTTCGTCATTTTTCATTTATACTATTTTTATACAGAATTAGATGCTGGATTGCTAGGAGATTTAATATTATTAAATTAATAAGTTGAGATTAAATTATCTTGCAACTGACGTAGGTACTTTTCTGATTAAAATGACTACAAACATGCTTCTACGAATTGAGTTTAGTTATATTTTCTGGGATTTAAGCACCTCGAAAATTTTAGGGTCGCCACAAATCATTGTTTCGTAATATTTAATTGGTATATTAACGAATGGAATGTGTTGTTTTTCTGGAATGTTGGCCAATATTTGATTTTACTTATTATATTGTAAGATTGTATAGTGCATAACTCCTAACTGTGCGAAGTTTATTGCCAGTTGTATATGATCAAATTTTGGCACTTTCCATATTGATATTATTTAATATTAAATTCAAATCTAACATTGCATGTGGATTTTGGTTATCAATGGAAATGTTTTGTATTCTATTAATTATTATTTTTTGATTGGTCTCGTTGGTTAAAAATTGGTCATGAAACGTTTTTCTGATCTGTTTTAATACTTTTGGGATTGGTTTTTCAGATTTTTCTCAAGTATTTGTTGGTCGTTCAAGGTTTGGATGTAAGAATCGTATCTTACTCCATCTTTTGCCATAGAGCCACTTTTGAGCTGTTCCTATGAAATTTAGAAGTCCTCTTTTAGTTCTTTTACTGTTAAGACTTTTGACAGCTTGTTTCATGATTTTCATTTGAGATTTACTTGTTTCAATATTTGTTTGAAACAATTTTGAAAAATGACTAGACTATGTTCTATCATAAATAATTTTTGTTAATTTATGTATAATTCGCAGCATAATTGTCATATTTATGTGGTAGTATGCCGTGTTATGTTGGCTAGTTATATAGGTAGTTCCTAGGGAAATAGGAGGTACGAGATTTTCCAATGTTGTTATCATGTATGCTGCTTGACGGTTCCGATAAGGATGAATGAGGTTCATTCTGGTTAATCTGAAACATGATACTGTCGCTTTACATTCTGTTTACTAAAGTGTGGTTGTGTTTTATTCTCATAACGTGGGCTTATCTTATCTCTGTTGAACTGTTTAACAAAGATAGGTTCTTGTAAGTCTGGTTCTCTCGATTTATGTTACGTTTTTCTAACGATTTATTTTGTTTTGACAATATTTTACTTTGTATTTCATTATTTAATAGTGGCAAAAACTCCGCTAGGTTTGTAATATAATCTGTCATCAATTTATTGGGTGATTCGATCCGGAATTGCGTAATTTAAAGCAACTATCATTAAATCAACTATATTTTTATAGGGATTCTGTAATTTTAAACTTGTTATAATTTTTTCTCAATGTCGAATGAAGTCTTTTTGGGTTTCTGGGAGTTTCATAATGGAATTCTATATTATCTTATACAGTGTACATAAATCTGTAATAATAGAGTTTTTAAACTATGTTCCATTATCTGAGGTTATCTTTTTACGGATTCCGCGGTCACATTGGTCACTAAAGTATTTTAATAATTGTGACGTAATTTCCACGGCAGTTTTTATCGTTATCGGGTAAGCTCAGGGCCGTCTCTAGCCATCTCGGGGCCCTAGGCACTTTTAAATTTGGGGGCCCCTGTCCCCATTTTTGAAAATGTCAAGAAAGGCGACAATAATTATTCGGAACAGAATTTATTTATACAGGGTGTCCACTTAGTGCGATATCGGACGATATCTCCTTACAGGGTGATGCAAGAAAAAAAATTTAATTATAAAGTTGTTTGATACCTAGGTTTAGGGTATATTACATGAAATCTGCTCAGAATTTCACGTAGAATCCAAATATGCAATCACATACAAGGTGTTCCATTTAAAATAAGAAAGTTCTGTTGCATATTCCATAAACGGAGTACCCTGTATATAATATTTTTAACTAATGCATATTAGAGTATCAAACAACTTTGTAATTTAATTTTTTTTTTCTTGCATCACCTTGTTAGGAGATATCGTCCTATATCGCACTAAGTGGACAACCTGTATACAGGGTATACCATTTAAAACGAAACAGGCTAAATATCTGATGCCAATTTTATTTTTTAAAAAATTACTCGTCCACGAAATATGATTTTGTGAGTGTTTGATAACATTTTCAGCATTAATTCAACCCTCTAGGAGGGGGGGAACAACCCTTACCATTCCAAATGGAACAGGGGGTCGAGTGATACCTGTTTTAAAAGACTTTTCAACTTTCTTTCAAATGACATCAAATGAAAGAGAATTGGACGCTCTTTTAAAAGAGGTATCACTCGACCCCTTGTTCCATTTGAAATAGTAAGGGTTGGTCCCATCCCGCCTAGGGGAATAAAGTTGAAGTGCTAGAAATGGTTACAGAAAACTTCCCCCTTTGAAAATCAAATTACGTCTACGAGCGATTTTTTAAAAAATAAACGTGGCATCAGATATTTATGAAGAATGAAAAAGTTTTGTATTTCGTGCAAAATTCTTTAATAAATATCAGTGCAAAGCGCTTTCGGCCGTGGCCATCATCAGTGCAACCTGAAAGTAAGGAAAAACACTTTCTGAAGATACTGGAAAATTTAATGAAAGTTTGGAAATTTTGGAAAATTTGAAAATTTTTTAAAATTTTTTGAAAATTATCTGAAATCTTAGAAAATTTAATCTATATCAATTTAAATTATTCAAAAGGAAGAAATTAATTACTAAAGAAAGTAAATTTACTCACTTCGTCAGGTTTGTACACAGAGTCTTCTCGTTGAACATATAGGTGTAAAGGAACGAAACATCACATTACAAATTAAAATAACACATTAAAATATCGGAAGATCTTTGGTTTTTCCGCTGGTGCACTATGCAAAGGCTGTGTCCTCTCAAATTACAATCACATCGAAAGATGTTTTTTAAGTTTAAGTTAATATTTCTTTAAATTTGTGGAAGACCAACAAGTGATGAATGATGTGCAGCCATTTTGTGTATGGTTGCACGTTTTTGATTGTGGTTTCCCTTTAGAGTGACACATGACAAGTAAGTCAGTGTAGCTGACAAGAGCGGGAAGTTCGAAAAGTAAAAGTTTATAAGTTCCAAACCATTACCAACGTTTTAAAAACAATATTTGGAGATTTAAGATGTTTATAGTGTAAAAAACTTGTAGTGTAGATGACGAGCTAGTCCTCCACAATGTGTAGACTACCCTTATATCATCATAGAGTGCAAAAAGGATATATGAGATACAATTGAAATAATGAAAATTTTTGAGTAAATAATTGAATAAATTGACTTAGTTAAGATCATCTATTGGTTTTTTGATTTAATTTAAAAGACGTCTGTGTAAGGGGATGTAAGATCTATTAAGGTTCACCTGAGTGTTGAGACAAGAGAAGTTGTCCTGAAGTTCATTTCTGATTTCAATGTCCTCCATAAAATCCAAACGGTTGAAGTTTTTAGAGCGAATTTCGTGAAGAATTTTAGAATTTGACCTGGGGCTGAAATTATGCTTAGTTGTCCTAATGTGTTCACCAAAGGCAGATGTAGTTTTTGTAAGATGTTCCTGTATTCGAGTCTTGAGAGGTCTGCAAGTTCGCCCAATGTAAGTGCAATTGCAGGAGTTGCAGTTTAGTTTATACTACACTGCATCTGCCTTTGGTGAACACATTAGGACAACTAAGCATAATTTCAGCCCCAGGTCAAATTCTAAAATTCTTCACGAAATTCGCTCTAAAAACTTCAACCGTTTGGATTTTATGGAGGACATTGAAATCAGAAATGAACTTCAGGACAACTTCTCTTGTCTCAACACTCAGGTGAACCTTAATAGATCTTACATCCCCTTACACAGACGTCTTTTAAATTAAATCAAAAAACCAATAGATGATCTTAACTAAGTCAATTTATTCAATTATTTACTCAAAAATTTTCATTATTTCAATTGTATCTCATATATCCTTTTTGCACTCTATGATGATATAAGGGTAGTCTACACATTGTGGAGGACTAGCTCGTCATCTACACTACAAGTTTTTTACACTATAAACATCTTAAATCTCCAAATATTGTTTTTAAAACGTTGGTAATGGTTTGGGACTTATAAACTTTTACTTTTCGAACTTCCCGCTCTTGTCAGCTACACTGACTTACTTGTCATGTGTCACTCTAAAGGGAAACCACAATCAAAAACGTGCAACCATACACAAAATGGCTGCACATCATTCATCACTTGTTGGTCTTCCACAAA